CTAAATAATAGTTATTTATAATAAAAAATTTTTTGAGTCGGCTACTTGAATTTCTCTACAAAAGCTAGAAATATCTGGCAACACTGGTTTCCAGTCACGTGTAAACCACGTGTCTGCATGCCCTGTGCTACAGTGGCCTGTTCATCCATTCATTCGACTTATCTTGAATTTGTTTAGTCAAACGTTAATGGACGAACGACCGCAAGTAAATTCTGATTCAGAAGACAAGTTTTGGAAGTAAATTATTATTATTTTAGTTACGGGAAAGATTAAATTTGAAATTCGCCGTAAAACTAAATATTTTACCGGAAAATACAGTATAATAAATACGCAAGTCTCTCCAAAAAAAGTTTCGTCGTGGTTTAAATAATTTAAAAGGATTGAAATAAACTTAAAATTGAAATTCAATTAAGTGCATTTTCGCTATAAGCAACTTGAGGGACCCCCGCAGGTTTGACGATTATCAATAAGTAGGTCAAGTACGAAGTGAATTGTGTTACTTGTACTGTTTACTTATTTCATACAAATAAAATGGTTTAGTTCTTCATCGAATTTAATTTACGCCTCTGTTTCTTTAATTTCCTATCCTACTGAGTAGGATGACTGTGACAGTTTGTGGTTCATGTTGAGATTAGAACACCTGCAAATTGTTGTTTACCTCAGACTTCTCCCTTAGTTGCAGCTGTTTACGATTTGAAACACAATAGCGAAGAGGAAGAGAAACAAAGGTGGGTTCTTTTCTTATTTTAGGATGTTTGTCTGTAAATAATAAGCAAACAAAATTACCAAAATCCAAATTAAGATAATATTCTTGTGTGTTCTTAATCGCTTTAGAACAATACTCGCCATTAGTATAGAGAAAAATGCCTTTCTTAAGGCACTACAGGAAGTTAAGAGTAAAAATATATCCAGCTTTTTACTTAATACATATAAATTCTAACGTTTTGAGATAAAATGTCACTGGATAAGTTCTTATCAACGATAACAATGATTCGGAGAAATAATCTTTGTTTTGTTTATTATCTGCTTTAGAAAATGACAAATGCAATTCTCCTGGAAGAGAACAATTGTCTTTTTCCAACGTCGACCCCCGAAAATGGCAACTTTGATTCCTGTATGTATAGTCTGTCAGAGACGACTCACGATCAAAATTTATAATTACACATGCTCAATAATAATAATAATAATGTTTTTAAGCCGGCTTTCAGAAGAGATCATTAATCCGTGGTCAGGATAAATAGAAATGTCAGTTTTATTCCTGCGACTTTTTCCTAGGCAAAATTGTAATTTTTACGGTCACCGATATGAATTTCGTTATGCATTGTTCCGTGAAGTGAAGCTGTATCTTACCAAACTAAGATATTAATTACAATATTCATCCACGGTTAGATTGTTTATTCTTAATTTCTTTTGTCTTTTTTAGGTGTAGTATAAAGATGTATTGTTTAGTAACTAAATAGTTTTATTGTTGGCATATGTAGCGCTCCATGGCTCAGATTGTTCCATTTTAGTATTCATTATGTAATTCTTATGAATAAAAATTTACAAATTGTGAAAAGCGCACGTCAATATATATGATGTAAGTGGTATGTATCGTCTCGAGTTTTTCTCGTAGCTACTTTGAATGCTGTTGGAACCCTTCTTTTAAATATTGTCTCTACAGACGTCGCCATCTTTTTCTTTATTTCACCCTCGTTTGCAAATGCAGCTCAGTGACCGCTATTAAGGTACGCACCGTAAGGGGCTTTGCTCTCTCACGTGACGCCTGCAAGGTATAGGGCAGAAAAAACGAATTCTTCAGCAAGAAGAAAAGTTGTCCGGAAACGCGCCGGGGGTGGGCTGTAGTCACGTGACCGACTGACGTCTAAGCCAGGTCATGTGACTTGCTACGGGTGTGAGAAAACATTAGTGTATTCCATTACTCATTTAACGCAAACAAATAACCGTTTATTTACATAGGATTATACATATATTTACAACTATAGGAGGTTAGTTAGGAATTTCAGCTGGTTCCTAAAGGCGGCTATACACGATGGGTTAATCCTCAAAGGAGTAACCATGCATGCCTGATTTTGAGTAATTCCTGGAAGTGTGTGGGGGAAAATTTAACAGTTTCAGCGAACTGTACCGACTACCTAAGTAGAATCGTCCATATACTCGTTAGGTTAATTCTCAAAGGATTAACCATGCATGCCTGACCTTTATAATTCCTGGTATTGTGTGGAGGGAAGTTTAACAGTTTTGGCGAACTGTACCGACTACCGGAGTAGAATTGAAAAACCATTTGATTTTCCTGGCACAGTGTCAGACTGCGCAGGCCGTCCTAAACGTGTGTGACAACAATGTCTCGTGAATGTTTGAAAGAATTATTTTCTATAACCTTATTAACTTTTATTATTTATAACCTAATAAATTAATTTTTCAGGTTATAAATTATTTTCGGATCAAAAATTTCTTGAGTAAATTAAAATTATAAATAATTTTAATATTTAGAAAACTTCTCAATTCATTTCTTCCGTTTTCATAAAACATCTTGATACTCTATATCATTTTCTTTTACATTTTAAAAAATTTATTGTTTTAATATCCAAGTAAATTAAAACATGACAACTTAAAATAAGACAAAGTTTAATAAATTCTTTTTAATTATTAAATTATAAAATTAATTTGCGATAATAATGTTTACAATTTGTACTAATATCGGATGTGGTTGAGAATTATTAATATATATTCGTCTATAAAATTTAATCCATGAATTTTTTTGGTAGTAAAATCGACTTGCCATTGTCTTTCGCTGATAATTGATGCTTTTTAACATAATCTATAGCCCAAGATTTCTCTTGAAAAATTAATTTTGTGATCTGAAATAATTCCATTAAAAAATTATTCATATGAAAAATTAATTTTGTGATCAGTGCTACCCAAACCACTACTACTACTATTTACATTATAGACTTCTATGCTTACTTTTTTCCCGCGAGTTTTAATAGAATTTGTTGCCAATAAACATCAGTGGCGTAATAATAAACACAATTGCGTAGCGAACATAACTGGCACCCGGGCCGCGACACTATATTGGCGTCCCCTCTCCCTCCAGAAACAAATTTTGTTTTTCTTGGAAACCATTTGGCTCCCCTCTGCAAGTGGCACCCGGGGCAAGCTGCCCCACCCTCTGCTGAGAGGTTTTCTTCGTTTGTGGGCGATAGGAAATTCTGAAGTTTCTCAAGGTCAGGCAGTCTCAAAGGATTAACTTAACGTGTATGCCTTTATACAAATTTTTAATTTCTTCCCTAAAGAAATAAGTAATACATTTAAAAATTTTTATGTATTAATTAAACTGTATAATTACCGAAACTAACTGACAATAAATATCGAAGTAGGCTATAACATAACGCTGGATGATAAATTTAAACTAGAATGTTCACATTAAACACTTCCGATATGACCACTGTTATTGGTACTGTACATCTAAGAAATTATGTGTACTTATCTTAAAAATATAGCAAAGCAAAACAATAACTTATAAGGTCTGTATAGACCCGAAGATTACATTCGGAATAGTTATTTGGGAATGCGCTCCTAATTACAAGATACAAACAGTATAAATAAATATTTTTTAATAATTTACGCTATTATTTATTATGATTCTGTGTCTGCCTATTATCTACAAGGGTATCAACAGATCGAGTTGCGTTAAGCAACTTTCTTTAGCCGTATAGACTACTATTACAATTATTACTTCTTTCCATCTTCTGATTTTTCTCCTTTGTGTTAAGAGGAAACGTCTGCAGTTACAGTATTTTGAAACATTTTAATGATTGAACCTTGATAATTCTATATCGAGAAAATAAAACACTGAAGTTAATTTATAAATAACATATTACTTCTTTTTGATAATTTTTGTGGATAATCTTTTCATCAGTTCAGATTTGAAAAAATTAAAATCTTCGTATCAATTCAAAAATGTCGATTATAACTAATATCAACACAAAGAAAGTTATCTGCTTTATTTCAGATAATCTGAAAGCAGTTTTTCTCAACCAAGCCCGTTATTAATTAAATAATACAAGACTGGACATCTTACATACAGTAATTTATACTGTATAATACTGTCATATAACTTTAAATTTTAAAATCAAACAGATTAGTTATATAAAACATATATGTTTGTAAATTTAGATATTAAATTTAAGCATTTAATCTGAATTTTAAAGTAACTCAATTATTATTTATTATTTCATTTCTTCAGTTTTTACGGAGTTAAAATAGAAAAATAAATTGTTGTTGTCAAATATTAACTTGGAATTTGGATATACTGTAGAACGTCACGATGTTACGGAAGCGTAACTATCAAACGTTGTCAAACTGTAGACCGCGAACTGTTCGACATGACAAGAGTTAATCACGTGTTAATAAGTCGTTTGCTCTATCACGTGATTAGTGCAAAGAAAACAGATTCTTCCGCCAGAAGAAAAGCTACACGGAAAACGCGTCAGAGACCTAGTCACGTGAAAGAGTGACGTCGAAATAGGGTCACGTGACGGTTTGTGTGGATCCGCCGTCCAGTGTACACCACCACGACGAGGCAAGCTTAAGCAATGGCGTCTCGAACGAAGAACAACCGTTAAGTAGTCCTATGATTTTTCGTTTATAGCACTGTGTATACGGGTCGCCCGGAAAAATGTTATGCGTTTTCTGGATGTATATTAAATATACATACTTTTAATATAATATAATTTAAAAAATACATATTCCCTTAATCTGCACAATTACCATAATTGACTGTTAACTATAAACGACGTTACATCGAGGTAATTAAAAGTTTTATATATAATTTTTACTTTATTTAACATGCAAGTAGTTTGAAAAATTCGGTGACAAAAGTATTTTCAGGTGACGTCGGTAGATGGCGCGACGGTTCACTTTGAATCACGTGTAGTATAGTATTGTACGTCCCCATTGTTGAAAGCGGTCACCTTTAAATCTGACTCCGAACGAAGATGCAGCTCGATCGTCAACTGCCGAAATATATTGATGTAGAAGGAGTAGAAGGTGTAGAAGGTGAGTTTTGAATAAAAATTATTGTTAAAATAGAATAAATAAATAAATAGAAAGTGAGTAGAACGAGGAAATTGTGGCATGTCACGTGTTAAAGTATCTTCCAGTTACATTACGTTTGATAAACTTTTCGGAAGTTTTTACACTTAAATGAGAGATTTATGTTGTATAATATAGGCAAAAATGATTGTAAAATTATAATTTTTTTACTTGGAAACAGATTTTATTGTCATTAAATGTGTGAATAATTTATAAAATTTTCTTTAATAATTCAAAATGTCAATTGTAATTATGTTATACAGTAGA